AAAAGAAGGTCTTACCAAGGTACAATATATATGAAACATGTCTGTGAAGAATTGCACCAAATATTCTTCACGAATTTAAATGGATTTTAAATATCGTGGTCGACCTGAATCGAAAACTATATCCTTCGAAGCTACTGTAGTATTCTGATAGCCCGGTGAAACGCTACGCCCTCTCGGCATGTTCTGGTACGAAGGGTGTGCGACCTGTACGGCAAGCGTACGATAGTATATGCGACTCGAAAGATGATTAAGCCTGATTCACTTTATTCTCCATAAAATACATACGTTACGTTCGTATGTAACTTTTGATCAAGCTGTTACAGGTTTGATTCCCGGAAAGTGGCAGAGCTTAGGAGAAAGCCAACCATTAGAAGAAATGGCATATTGATTGCCTTGTGACCTGGTTACCTAAGCAATAAAGGCGATAGTATTGGTGCGAGGAAGCCAATGATCGAGCGGTGGTACCATATCCGCCACCGACATTGAAAATTGTGTAACAGCCAAGAGTTATCTTCGGATAACTCGTAATACGCAAGCCTCCGGGAAGGCAACATCAACTCGGGGCTGAGGTTCTATAAGGCACTAATAATGTAAGACATCAATTCACAATATATGGAACCTCGACAGCAGACACTCTTCCACAACAAATGATCCATTTGGACTATAAACGAACGAACCAGATGATCAAGCAGGCTTTCATGTGATGCGGTCACACGTGCATGAGGAGGGTCACCTAGTGGCTGGATGGCCTCAAGTTCACGTGAGTGAAGTGGTAGGGGCAAACAAATTCCAGTACATACACGCGCACTAAGCGAAAAAGTAGAGCGGGCATTACATATAGGGGGAGAAGAAGCATGAGGAATTCAAAATGTTGGGGGAATTGACGACACATATACCTAAGTAAAATCCCGGTGTCCCCATCCAGATGTAGCAGTTGTCTGATTCGACTATATAGTTTTTTTCATAATTCACTGCTAGGTCATACACTGTACTTAAATCGGTCGCTTTCACTCAGCGCATACCTGGGCTGTAGGAGCTCTGTGAGTCAGACGATTCCCAGGAATTCTGGATACACGTCCTATCCAGGTTAGCCGGAGGAGCACGAGTAACAGATACACTGTGTGAAAGCCCCATCCCAAATTTATCTGTTGTACCTCAGCATTGTTATTGAACAGTTTCCCCGAACCCGACAAATGCGTTTGAGTAAACGATGGTAGAACGCCCTCGGATTTCCAACCTCCTCTGCATGTCGATACTAAGTTTCTGACTGTTGACAAAATATTCTGACGGCACCTTGGTGCAGAAGTGGTCGAAGACTGGCAGCACCTGTGCTAGTCTTCCGGATGCGAGGAGCACTCTCAACTTTAGGCAGAATACCGGGCACTTTCAGCAGGAAGAGTGAGAGGGGGCAGCCTTGTCTTGCAAAGCTGGACGCGGTAAACTCAAGCAAAAGCTTAGTATATACCCGTGTGTGTCTACTGAAATTCGGTGCAATAGTCTCACATAGGATATCGATTCGGAAAAAACCATGTTTGGTCCCAGACCTTGCCAAATTTTTCCTAGGCCGATAGAATTGAAGGCAATCATTAGATCACGAAAAATAACCAATGTAGGACGCTCAAGAGCTGGTCTTAAGCTAAATTAATGGTTGATGAATCCTATGCCAGGGCGACAGCCTAATCCCCACGAGTATATCTCTCCCGAGAAATAATCCCAGATGGTACCTTGGATGTGACAGATATGAGGCTGATGCGATGAGGGTTTTCGCATGACGTTCTTGAGCCCTTCTTAAAGAGTGAAATCACCATCGAAGTGCTTGACCCCATTGATTTCGACAAAAAAACTTCCGCAGTAAAATTACGATGGTTTCACCGCCCTCTATAATGAGTGCGGGTGCAGACCATTTGAGCTGAGTAGCTTTTCCCATGGAGGAATAATATCTCACGCTGACGGCGGACTGGCGTCGGTGTTACATTTGGGTCCGTCAGATTCTTCCAGATTCTGTGCCCGAGCAGGCCACCTGAACTATTTTTCCAGGTGTTCAACCCATCGATCAAGTTGATGATTGTGCGAGTGAGTTGCCGTTCCATCCTTTTTGCTCACACCTGTCTCCTCCTGACCGGTTGGTCAAATCAGCTGAAACAAGGCGCAGCTGTTCCTCATTTCCTACTCACTCGCGAACTACTAGCGTTCGGTGTCATTTTCAGGCTTTTGATTATTCAGTGTTTAAGAGGTTTGAGTGCGACATCGAAGTCGCTAGTTGGTGGTATACCTTTTTTGGCAGTATTGTTTGACTAGGTTACGCTTGATGAGTGCCTGTGGATCAAAGGAGCGAAATCCGTTCATAAAACACTTGACTGTGGATTAAATTTGTGTGATTGTTATATACAGAGTTGACGCTTGCTGCACGAGGCACAAACTGTGATTTTGACCGCTAGTCCTTGGGGGATGAGTTATCTGTTTATTTAGTTCTCTGTTGAAAACAAACGACCACCTCATGTCATGATAACAAAACTGAAGTTTGATAGATCGCCAATGGTACACGACCGTAACCGGAAGATAATTATTGACGCCTACAGAAATGGATAATGATGGTTTCCAAGACCATTTGCGCACCCAATTCTAACCTAGCCATGAGTGAATGCTGAAACCGATACTAAACTACTAGATGACATGACTGATGGGGTTGATGAATGCTAAAATAGTTGCTTTTTGTCCGGGGAGAATGAATTATTGATTCACGTGGTACCAATGCGACGGTGGACATATCTGTTGCATAACAAATGACGGGTTCAGTTTTGCATTCCTTGTAGCAGGAGCTGCTTTCCATCCGACAGTCCGCAGCTGGTGTATTCAAACGCTTTTGATGAATGAGAACACCATCAGCTGCTTCTAACCTTAGAGTGCCCAACTCGTTGAAAAACTAGCTAGCTCAAGCTAAACCAGACAAGCTGCCATGTGGAGTAGTCCTTCCGACTTCAGGACAGAGGTGACCTGCAGTTGGAAGCAGACAAACCAAAGTCACCGACAGTTAAGCATTGTTTCTTGAGGCCTTGGTAATTTACCCACCGACAGGAAGTCAAGGTTCTCAGAAACGGAAAAATGTAGTTTTGTTAACTTACTACGGCCACAGCTTTCAGTCTTCGTACGCAAAGTGGCATTGTGTTGGTGAACACGGGATTGGTAGTCAGCGACGAAGAACAATTTATTGCGAACACGAGCCGAAGGCAGAGTATCGAGCGTGATCCCAAACTTCAAAACGTGTACGGCGTCATGCGAAAGCCATCGTGATATCAACCTGGTGGCCGTGACGTTGCATATGCTGTCTGGTATTATTTTGCGCAGATTGGTCGACTGTCGACAGGGATGAATTCGAGAGAACGAAGATGAACTTCGTCCTGGTCGAGGATGGGCTCGTCATATCCTTACTTCGGTACACGGACGGCGTAACTCCTCCAAGAGTCAAATGACGGTCATTTTTCTTGCTACGGAGGGTGCTTCTGATCAACTCAGTCATCAGAAATGACGGCGGCTCGTGGACGATCAAGATGCCTTCAAACCTTTATAATCCCTTATTAGGATATTTCATGCAAACTCATTTGGGCGCGTACGGGTCTACTGAGCTGTCGCCTAAGCTCAAAATGCCGAGTGGTGTACGATAGAGAGCTTCCAACCCTTTTCCTCCCGAGCTTTATAATTGATACAGGGCTTGAAATTGCACTTCCAGCTTTGAAAACATTTGGGATCTAAATGATTCCGAGGTGTACGGTTAGATACTGATTCAGGTCTTTTGAAAATGCAAACCATTCTGAGTAACCCAGATTATTCTGCCGCATGGTTTGGTGTGCATTTCAATCCTGAAAATTCTGAAGTGTTGTTACAAGACCGCATGTCACGAATCCCAAAACTCATGCTGACAAAGGAACGAACAGACCTTTCAGATAAGTTTAACTGCCAGTTGTATAGGTTTAGGTGGATTGACCGAAGGTGAGGCCATGAAGGCCACGTTGGCTCTTGCTACCCTCCGACAACCATGCTAGTCTGTTAGTGACAGAGTATGCACTTCGACAGTGAGGTTCACACGCATGGGAACTAGTGTCCACGCTGTAGCCAACATAAACACGAAAATTGGAGAAAAATAGTATCTACAATCCCTACACCACAGACTGAGTGATGTAAGACACTCAAGGACAACGTTTTTCCCATGGTCCCTTAATGGCGCGTCTTACTGCACAACTGAATTCACAGGCACAATCGAGCGGTCAGGGGGCTATTCAACGTATATCAACACATGGGCCAAAGCAAAAGATCAACCGCCAGTCACATTGTTCGATACAATACAGAAAAACCCACTCCAGCATCCGAAAAGTTTGGCTATGACGTTCATCGCACAGAAACTGCGATTAGCACCGAATACAACTGACGGAGCTCAATCTGACGTCCGAACCTCCCGGGTAAAAGTACATAAACAAACATCAAAGGCTGAAAAACAGTGTGGGGGGGGGGCAGTAAAACTGAGTGACGAAATTTCATGGTCTCTACCGGGCAATGAGTTTTTTATCTAGCTAGGCTTCCGGGACCAGTGTCAAGGGAGGGCCCTTAGAGGGGAGGATGAGCCACACACACAAATAGGCCAACCAATCTATGAAAATGAAAGCAATTTTGGGTGGTACAGGACGCCACAAGTGCGCAGTTCAAGCACCTGCAATCAAAATAGGCTGAAAGCTGCCTTTCGTTCTCTGATTTACGCCGAGGTATAAAGTTCTGCAGTTCACTCAATATGCACCGTTTTGCATCAATTCCTGGGCCCAAGCCTAAGGCAGTAAAGGTTACATCATGACTGAATAAGAATGTAGTTCCCAAATAACTAACGGATGAAAAAATGGAGCTCCAAAGTGACTCCTTGCAGCCTAAGTCCAACTCAGCAATAATTCAGTTTATGAAAGTGGACTAGTCCAACACCATTTCCAAATACCATTCCGATACAATGAAAACCAGGGTTCGGAGGGAATGAAACATTCTTAAAAGATAGAGTACAAAACAGTTAGTTGAAAAAACTTTTTACACAGTTGCTCATTCATTGCAAATAGCTTGTGACAGCAGTAGGAAAAATGGAGATTCTGGGATTTCCATAAAAAACATCTGGCTGTGACCAATCGAAGTTGCAGTAGAAATAAAATTTACTACTGTTACACTGTCAGTAGTAAGGTTTTCCCCTGTCCAGATGGCAGCAGTAAACGCCCCGGGTCTCAATAGTCACGTGCTGGCAATTGTACGGATGTGAACAGAGATACAGGTAATAGTTAGTAGAATTAGTCGGATTCTATGTGAATCACTTCGCTTGGTGTTGCCATACTCTGCTCAGTCACGTTGGGTCTCTTGGTAGGAGGAGTGAAAAACGTGTCTAGGGTGGCTCGCTTGCGGCCCACAGATGGGACGGAGCTCAGTTTTGGCTCTTCTGTCTTCATGGTGGTAGTGTCAGTGAGTCCTACATTTTCTGAAACTAAGTTCTCACGCAAGGGTTGCGCTAAGAGAGGAGTCAGGTTCGTGTTTTCAATTTGCTTGAACTTTTTAGCCGTTTTGCGCGCCAGACGCTGTGGTGGGGATGGTGTGGACTCATTGACAGACGTCAAGCGTTTGACAACAACTGTTAAGGAATGGCCGTTGAGTAGACGGGCATCGAGTGGAACCGAATCCGCTGGAGGGGGTACTTGTGCTAGTTCCACTTCATCACCGATGGCAGGGACGTCTATGGAACGACGCTTGGAGCCCGGTGGACGATTCGATCGTTGGCTAATGGCAACCACATCAGTGAGAAACTCCCATGGAGGAAATGTGATGGCACTAAGTGCCGCATCATCTGATTCCATACCGAGCGTAGACAGTTCGTTCAGACCAAACAACGTCGTCAATTTCGGTCGATATTTTCGCAATATATTGGGGTGTACGGACCATCTGTGAACACGGAATGGAGGAGGAAAATCTGTTCAGGGGCACACAACAATAACCTGAAACCATTAAAGCGCATAACTGCCTAGTAAACGCGCGTTGTAAGTACATACTCTGAGGTCGTTAAATGGTAAGGCACAAACAAAATAGGGGGGACATTCAAGTCCGTAGTTACTCCTGAGCACCCTGGTAACATAAACAAAACTTACAAGTGGTGTGGACTAGAGAAACAAGCACGAAGGGATTTATCGGATCTTCTGTTCTTCGGAGGAGAGGCACACAGGCGCTCAAACACTTCATGATGGGACAGAAAACTTTAGATTGTCGGTTCTTCTGCCTTGCTTGGTGTCACATAAGCCAAAGTGACTTAGTGGAAGACGACATTCCTACTGTTTCAACAAGGTCCTGAAATGTAAACCAAGATATCTATCCTAGTGTACAACACATTAACAAGTGCGAACAGGCTTAGCATTAAACTTGGCAACCGGGTGTTGTCTGTGATTTGTTCGGATGTACTGAGTCCAAAACAAACAAGCAGCCAAAGACTGTCGCTGAAGAGTTTCTTTCTTCTGTTGTTTACCTAGAACCAAGGGGAATTTCATATTCTGGCTTCACTAAGAATTGCAGACCAGTTAACCAGCAGGAGACAGTTCAGTAAAATTTCGTCCCAAAGAGAAACGGTACCGTATTTGGAGAACACTTACCTGCCTTCTTCGAAAACGGCTAGTTCAGTCAACTTCGACAATACGAGTGTTTGACTCAAAGGCAAATCGTCCCAAGCTGGTCCAGCCAAAACAGCTTTGGTTCGTTGAGAGCAAGCTTGGGCGGGGGCGGCGGCAGTGTGACGTTTATAATCCATATATTTTGTGCATTCAGGGACAGTACCAGTAGTATGCTTGTGCCAGAAAACGCGAAACTCAAAAGCCAACTTCAATTTTCCAAGGGGGCTTTTATGCACCAACTGGATTAAATAAGGAACAGCTGGAATAGGGAGGGATAGGTGGAAAAAGAAAACCGATGCAAGCTATTAGAACACTAGGAGAATCAACCAAGCGGATAACCCGACGGTACGTACGACGCGCGGAGTAGTGCTATGATTACGGGGCAAAGAAAGCAACCTACCCTCTTCAGGGAGTTCCCTCCTTGTGCGGCGGGTCGACTGAGTAGCGGGTATGTCCATTTGGACAGTGATTGGAACCGCGGAGTCCCACAAATGGACCTAAATACAACATATCGGAAAAATACAGTGTAGTGCCGTGGGAGATGCGAAATAAAATGTACAGTGACTGTGTAACCAAACTGAGGGAAGTTTTTACGTCACCACCACCTTGGTTTTCGATAAAAACTAGTCGGTTTACAAAAAACTCATGCAAAGAAGTCCCCTCATCCCTAGTCGGGCGATCAGACGGGAGATAATGGTCTGCAATGTGCTCGCGGACCACTTGTGCGGGTGTGTGGATTCATTCAGATGATGACTAAATGTGGTAACTGACCTAACTATCCAAGGACAATCAGACTGCTAAGACTACCATTCACGCGTGCCATAGAAAAACCTGGCAACGCATATCCTGGAGCAGCACTTGAATTCAACAAGATTTTCGTGAGAACTCGAAACCGAAGAAGTGGTCATTACCAGTCAGGTAAATAAAAGCACAAGGTCGCCGTGAGATTCGCTGTGCTTGGTAAATACGGCCAACAATATATAAACGGTTGAGCAACAAGGGAAGCACATCAAAAAAGAACCCCGATCGAGTCGCGATGAATTAAACTCAAAACAAAGTTTGACGCACTCTTGTGGACCAACAATAAGGACTAAAAACTAGTGAAACAGAGAAGCGAAAAAATTATGGTACGAAGCTTACTCGATAGATACTCAGTGCCGAACGAACTAACTGCAGGCTCGATTTATCAACGGATGTGGAATCAGTAACACGAACCCCAATAGTTTCAATATTCTCCTTATCTTCATCTAACTGGTCGTTTGAGCTCAAAACATTTCCAGCTGGAATACTCTCAACTGGGTTCGGGAGCCAAACTGGTCCCAATACAAGTGGTATTAGCCGCTGCAGACCACGACGATGGGCAGTTTCGTATTCGACGACGGACAATCGCCTTCGTAGATTCTTCATCTCTTCCGCAGCTGCGTCCTCTTCTCCAACATCCTCGGCAGCTACACCTTCGTCATCGGACAGATAGCCATGTGGGACGAAGAAGGTATCATCCTCTTCCTCCTCCTCCTCTTCGTCCTTCTCTTCTTCCTCTTCTTCATTCTGAAATTTGAGATTTGAATTTAATGGGAAATATCTGACGGAACAATCACACTCACTGAGGACTCCACTTATGAAGATGAAGGCGGTATCGTTCATACTCAGAATGACGTAAACGAAAAACCTGCTTTTCAAACTGGAAGCAGTGTTTTGTATGCGTGGAATATGTTATCTTTTTGTTCGGGCCGAAGGTAGTTCACAAGAGACTTTGGGGCCGCTATATGTAGGACAAACAGGTAACAAAAACGCTGTCGCGCCGCTTAGGTTTGGGCATAAACCACGTGCACACACTACTGTAGTGAGGTGAGCGGAGCAGCAGTGCACCGTCTGTTCAGGTTTGTGCATATCTGGATCGTTCGCTGCTGGTCCGATCTGCAAGGTAATTTCGAGTAGCCCTAGAGGCTGATAACGTCCAACAAGCACGAAGATAACTTTAGAACGAAGTGTTTAGCATTCCGAACGTAAATATTACTTCCGCTTTTCTTAAAACGACCTCTCAGTTTTTTTTACGTCTAAGATACACGGTGACCTTGGAAATCAAACCTGCGAAACAAGCAGACTGCCCTTACACAGACTCACGAAACATCTAGTGTGCCGCTTATCTCAACTAAACCAGTAAACCAGTTGTATCGCCTTCGATGATCGTAGTTCGACCTGGTGAGTTGACATTAAGTCCCGTGACAGAACGATTGTAACCACTGGTAGAGCCATCACACTATCCCCGAGATTTACAAAGTGCACCGACACGTTCTATAAAAACAAGGAAGACGATGACTAGTAAGAAACACAATGCCACTTTGTTCAGCAGTCCGAATCTCTGATTCCAAGCTACACACCCCATCTAACGGTAAATAAGTTATAAGGAAAGTCGCCTTTAGGCTGTCATTGTAGGAACACCGGAAAACGGATATTTGACTCACTGTCCTAACAGGATGGCATGTTTCCTGACAAATAAACTGGTGAATACACCGACAGTAGCGTAACCAAAAAGACCGTCCAGTTATTTTGCATAGCCCTCTGTCCCGATCAGGCAATCAAAACCTAATGCCCAAAGACCATTGCGATCGGAACAACAAAAACCGCGATCAGTAGATAGCAGCTAAGGTGACCATAACGCATAATTCCCCATCCGCAGAACGGTTGGGACACAACTCACCTCCGACTGCGTGATACTCTCCCCAGGTTCATCCTCTTCCCACTCATCGTCAGAATCAACAGAATAATCCAGTTGTCGCACATCCTGAGCAAAAGGTCGTCGGCCAGTGACAATACGACTCCGCCGACGCCACGACCCGTAGTACGCAGGTCGATAGTTCTCCACAAATTGGAACAGCTTGGCGCGCAGCCACACCGTACCACCAGAACCTCGGCTTCCATGATACTTTAACGTAGGCGAGTTTAGGGTGGAACATGGTCCCTCACCCATAAGCATCACCTCGGGTGGCTCCCTACGAAATGAGACGAACGTAATTAAAATTGAATGGACATGACGGAATACGGTAAGTCCCGCTAAAACCAACATAAACATCAGAGGGTCCTCATACTTGTATTGAGTTAACAGTGATCCCTGGAAAATGGCTGAGTGAGATAGAGGAGAAACCATTTTGTACGAGAAAGTTGAACCACGGATTACGTGTGCTGAGAGTGAGAGAAATTGAAAAGCTTACTCCGATGGCTGTATTCCAGATGACAGACAATTAGAAAGAACTTTAAGGTAGATCGCACATCCTCTAAAATCCGAAATTGCTAGGTTGGCGGTAAGCAGCGGATACATAGGGGGGAAAATCGCAGCGACTTAAAAAAGCATCCACATCTCACTGCAGGAGTCCCCGGATCCGGGCAAGAAGGTTTTCTCATGCGGTCCACTCCAAATTATGGTCAGTGCCGAAATCAGTTTTCTTTCGCTCATAAAATGCAGAGGCCGTTGAATAAAGCAGTGCCAAACGAACGCTATTTACAAGGTTTCTGAAGACTCTTTGACATCCCACGACCAGTTTCATCCCTCTTGGGCCTCATCAGGTAAGTGCGATCCCGAGTTCCAGTCAACCTTTTTGTTCTACTTGAACACAAGTTGCACGAAATTCGCAAAATACACTCATTTGCACACCAACTTGGTTTTACTAGGTGGCTTAACTGAGTCCCAGCTGAATCTATCGTTTATGATATTCTGTAGAGTTTAAGTGCGATAAATGGGCCTTACAGAATAATTCATTACGTCACTGAAACGAATTATCTATCAGCTGGCCGGTGGGCTAGGACTACTAACGTATATGTGATAGACGAACCAAGTCACACACCTGAGATGCGCTTACTCCACTTGGAGTAGTGTCGACTGTGCTTTGTGCCACATCAACTTCCGAATGAACAAAATCGGTCCCCCCCTCACCCTTAGGCTGCACGCCAAGATGAACAACTCAGCCTAATTCATTGAATACTTGTCCATCAGGTTCTGATACATGGTAGATAGATACAACGTTGGTTGCAACAAACACTGATGTGCAACGGGAGATGCGGACAGACTGATATCAAATGCAGAGTGTCTGATAAGAATTCTTGACTGACCAAGTTCTGTTTGTAAACTGCGCTCTGTTGGTAGTGTGAAGAGATATGGGGAAATTTCGAGTCTCGAACCCCCGAATTTCCGGCTAGTAGTTTGAACACTTAGTCGGTCGGCCACAAACGGCTGTTCAGTGGTGTGATTAGTTCGCAATTAGACAAGACATAGCACCACTCATCTTTCACTTGACCGGGAAATCAGGAAATCCAAACTCTCTGGAGTTTATAGAGACGTGCATCACTAAGAGTTC